ATATAATCGTTAGCTGCAGCTCTAATTCAGCGTTCAGAAACTGTTTGGGTTTTGTCCAATTCTTTGTGACCTGAATAATTAGAACAGATAAAAATAGCTCCTATTAAGCTTTTTACTATTAAGTGAAATAGTTAAAAATGAACATATGTATGACTTATTCTACACGATGTTTTTAATTTGAAAATAGACTTTTGATAAATTCAGCTGCGTTTGGTCCAGACCTGTGAACGAAAACTGTAAATAATAAATAATAATAACACCAGATTTGTAGATGTTTGTCACATTTCTACGTTGTTACTGGCATCGTTCAGCTGTAGAGGATAAAACCTTCGATGCAGCTGCAGTTTGTTGGATGTTGCAGTGACTTTTTGTTCTAGATGCTGACAGTGTGAGGAGACACAGCAGGGGTCCGAGGCTCTGCCTGCAGATCGGCTCTTGAAGTTTGTTTGATTCAGTTTTCAAGGAAAAAAGCTTCAGAAGTGAAAGAACAAGAGAAGCAGCAGGAGGAGATGTGATGATAGGAGATACTCTTTAGGCTCATCTTTAAATTACAAAACTTTAAGTTTTTAATCCTTTAATCTGGATAATTTCTCTGTAAAAAACATGGATTTGGAGACAGATTAACTCTGTACAAAATACTGCATAAAAATAATAACATTTATTTAAAGTCTGACACATAAATAAGCCGTTATAATTATTAAAATATTTTCTGACAAATGCCAGAATATTGGGGTATTTTTTAGCTTTTTGTATATTTTATAGAATCATCTTTGAATAAAAATAATTTGGGTTTTTATTCAACATCTGTCCGTGAAGAAGAGGTTTGAGTTTTTCCCCTCTAACGTCTCTCCTAAAACGTTGAACTTTAACCTTTCATGTGTTCACACTGTGGAAAGGCGGCGTGGTGACCTCTGCTCCTCAGAGCGACCATGTCGTCTGAATGAAACGTTTTAATGATGAAAATCTTTCAATCATCCATCAGGTTTAAAACAATGAAACCAAAGACATAAATCCAACAACAACTAAAAAACAGCTCCAGTTCATTAACATGGCTACATTAAAGGTTCGCAAAATACAAAGTATGAATAAAAGAGGAAGTAAATTCTCCTAAATCACCTGATGAACCAGAAGAAAACAGAGCAGACGTTTTTATCTGATTCTGTTTTTCCTGCCGTCAGATCAGCTGAGTTTCTCCATCATCCAGGTCCAAATGTTAACCTGCGTCTCTAAATGCTCAGAATAGATTAGAAATATAATTTATTGTCTTGCAGTCGGAAAATTCAGGAGTCACAGCTGCAAGTTCAGGTTAGTGAGGATGTGCGCAAAAAAGGTAGATGAAGGCAGAACATCCATTGGTTCTTAAAATAAAAACAGACAAAACTGAAATAGTTTCATTAGTTTTCCTCCATCCTGCAGGATGTTACTCTACCGTCTGAGTCCTACATGTTTTATCCAATTAAATTATTATTTACTGCAAAATAAATTGCAAAGCAGACGGTGCCTTTTTACAGAGGGAGACAGAGACGCATTCTGCAGGATGTTGATGAACTTTTCCTTCCTGCGTCCCACAGGAGCAAAAATAAAAAGAAGCTTTTGTGTGTTTGAATTGCCAGAATCAGTTCAACACTTTATTTTTCCACCAGATAATGATCTGCTTCTCTCTGTGCCCTACTTACTGATCCAAACTGAATGTGGGGGTTCTGAGCCGCTAACGCTGCTCCGGCCTTGATTATCGTCCTTATTATCTATCAGCCTGAGGAAAGTTTTCTTAAAAACTCAGTCCGGTCTGTACGTTCAGTGGCTGGATTAAAGGTGTTCAGGGAGGAAACTACTTAATGAATCTGTTTTTTATAAAGACTAACTTGAATAAACATGGGATCATGTCAGCACCGACTCGCCCACCAGCTGTTTTGATGCTTTTTCTTTGAAACAAACGATTTATTGCTGCTCCCTCAGCGCTGCGTCTGATCCCAGAACAGCGAGAAGCTGCTGGAGGAACCGTTCTCAGCAAACGTCTGCACAGCTTTCTGATGTAGCTGGGAATATTTCCTGCATGTGCCTGAAGAAATCTGAAGAAATCTCCAAATACGCCAGATAAAGTATTATTTGTATCTGTTAAAATCAGGCGCATGGAGATGACCTCTGCTGCTTTTAGGAGGGTTTGTTTCTGCCAGTAAAATAATTTATAGCCATAGCTGAAGGGGTATTTATGTGAATTTTAACACATTTCCTGTATTCCTGTTATAATTAGACACAAACGTTGGTCGACTGGGAACGAGGTTCCAGTTTCACAGCTTCTAAGGATAAAAGAGCAAAAGCTGCTGTGGTGCTGAACTCAGGAGCAGCAGCTCAGGAATCATCCTGAGCCGACGCTGTAGACGAAGCAGTCTGAGGTTTTTCTACAAGGCCGTCCTTCACCGAGACAAAGAGATCAGCAAACACGGAGTTAGGAGGCGTCTGCAGGTTCACCAAGGTTTACTGAACTACAAGTTTTAGAAAGAAGCTACAGCAAGCCTTCTCTAAAGAAGTGTTTTCTTATTTAAAATGTAAAGATTCAACCTTTGACCACCACCGATTCCATAAAAGCTGCATTTTGTTGATGTATAAAAACTAACAGAAGGTTATGGTCATGTTCTGACAGAATCTGCTGACAGCAGAAAGTCATCAACATCCTCCACAGGGAGGCCAACCCCAATAACCTATCAGGAAACACTATGGCTGTTATCAGTGGAAAGTTTTGTGTAAGGAAAACGTGCGGTAGATAAAGTTTCATTTATTGCTGTTGATTTTTGACTGTAACTTTGTAAACGGCTCCTCAATGAATCACAGTATCATTTCATTTCCAGGGTAATAACTGGGCAGAAATACTTCCTAAACCTTGTTTGAAGCGTTTCTGAGTGTTTCAGTTTTTTCCTGTTTTTCCATCTGGTCCTCCTTTAAGCTACTCGGCCTGCCAGGCAGAAGCAAATACACCTGAAAACTTTCAAATCAATCTTTAATAGTTTTTCTTTCTACCTCAGCTGACACGCATCACCGGTTTTGAGGTTACCATGGTTCCCATTACGACAGGATCAACATTTCCAGCGTCCGGCTTGCGCTCGCCTCCCATCTGTCTCTCCCAGGCAGGGAAGGAAGAAAACGCAGTTAAAGGCTCAGATTTCTATTCCTCTGCTTCAGCAACAGGAAAAGGTTGAGAGAGCAGCCTGGCTGAGTGGAGGACTCCCATATGCTGCTGTCATGTTCCCTGCTAATTAGGATTAATGGCAGCCGTGGCACTGTTAGCATTGCAGGATCTCGCTTAACTTTCTGTCATTTCCTGCTGCTCCTCAGGAGAGAAATAAAACATACGGCTCATGTGGAGACGGAGGACTTCCTCAGCTCACAGACGTCTGTCTTACAGAGACACAAAGCTTCAAACCGACCAAAATGTTCCAGGCTCCTGGATTTGCATTCACATCAAAGTGTTTTGGACTCGAGGTCGTTTTTGTTTACAGAGCTGAACTTTGTGCTGGTTTGGTAGTTAACGAGCTGAACATTGAGCCGCGATCGCTGAAGGACAAATCAGGGCTTTAACATGCGAATACAAACCGAGAGAAGGAAGAGAAACAGGTATTAATTACAGATTACGTCTCCATTAATCTGGATTGGGAGGACTCCCAGGTCCCATTAACTCTACCCTTGAAACTAAAACAAAACACTAAGGAAGTTCATGAGGGGGAAAGACTTTTCCACAGTTATGCATCAAGGTTTCTGTGTCCTTTACTTCATGAAAGATTAAAGAAGAAAAACTTAAATGAAGTTAAACTGGAGACTTTAACGGCTGATTTAAATCCACTTCTCTGCCACTGAGGTACTGAAACTGTTGTTGGGATTGATGGCAGAATACCTCAATGTTTGGACTAATAAACCAAAAATCCACATGATGTTGATGTTTCATATATAGAAAATAAAACTAATGAGACATAATTTGACTTCCATCTAACTGAAAGATTCTGTTTTGTACGTGATGAACTTGAAGTAACCGCAGCTCACCTGGACATCGTTTAGCTTCCTTCTATTTAGGGAAACATTAAATATTTACACTGTTGTTTCTTCTTCCAGCTGAAACCTTTAAGGTGAGCGCTGAGTGGCTGGTGTGTGTGTGTGTGTGTGTGTGTGTGTGTGTGAGCGAGCTGCGGAGGTAAAGTTTTTGTGCACACAGCCAGTTTTACAGTAGATGTGAGGTTCTAATTTATAATTGATGTCTCTCCATTCAGTTAAAACTTTGCTTTAAATGTAAAAATGTAAACTGCAGGCTCACACACCAACCATCAAAACTGACAGATTAAACTTTAATATTTTCCACAATGATTTTATTGTTTTTGGGCAGAAGATGAAGCAGCTTATTACACTTTTCTCTTAGAGTAACGTACAAGTTGAACAAAAAAAAAGAGACATTTTGGTCTCCTCTGTACGGAAGTGTTTAAATGCCAAAACCCAAAAATAAGCAGCAGTATCTCATTTTGAGGAGAAAACTTTCTCGTTGTAATGAGATGCTGCTGCTTCCATACATCTGACTTATATGGAAGCTTTTAAATACCAAAATTTGGAAATAAATTAATGAACCGTGACCCACTTATGCGTTATAATTAGAAACGTTCATGTTGTAACGAGATATATAACCTGTTAAAATGAGAAGCGTTTTTGTTTTGGCGACATATTAACATCCCAACAGGTTTGGCTGTTTTCATATTACGACTTTTCTTATTTAGAGGAGATATTTTGATAAATCTTATACCTGGTTATAGCAGTAAAGTCTGTCATTATAACGAGTCTCTGCTCCTGAATGTGTTTCTAAGCTCTGGTGGTTAAACACCTTCTTTCATGCATGGTTTCATGGTTTGGCTTTTAGTAAAATACGGTTTAAAAAATTACTAATATTAGTATTAAAGAAAACACCTGTTTGTTTCCTCGGCCTGGTGTGGAAGTCTGTAACTGACCGTTTTCTGGTCAGGCTGAAAACACAGCCGTCTGATCACAGCTCTGGTTCTGCCAGAGGAACGCTGTGATCATCATGGAGTCGCAGGAAGATGTAATTTAGTGACTGGATGACAAGAACAAATTCGACGGCGCTCTGATTAATTGTTATAAATGTCCACCCAGGCAGCGGCAGTCGCTTGGTTTATGCTGAGGGATCGGATGTTGGCCGTAAAAATTATGCACACCGCTGGTTTCGGCTAAAGGAGGACGTTTCGCTAACATTTCCATTTTTATTGCCGTCCATTCCGAGTTGATTCAAGCGTAAAGCAACGTCAAGTCTCAACTAATTTGTTGGCCGGCCGTTTCACATTCCAAACATTTCCTTTAGCAGCAAACTCATCTACATAATGACACACTGGTCAAAGGGACGTCTGCTTTATTTAATTTCACACTATCTGAGTCTGAATTTCTACCCATTTTGCTGAAATAACAAACATTTTACTTTGACTATAAATGACAGCGAGCTTCTTAGTTTAATGTCTGCAGTTCTGTAATCTGTTGGCAATAAATAAGGAATCAAAACATCGTCTGGGAAAATGAAAGCAAGTTTTGACATCAAAAGTTATAGTTTGACGTATTAAAAGCTGCATTTATTCTACCATCTTTACTTGAAAGATATATCTATCTGCAGGAGCCAAAGGCCGAAATGTAAATGAATGAATAACTATAAATATTCAAGTAGTAAAAGTGACTTTTTAAAATATATTACAACTGGGAGGTTTGGCCTCTGAGCCGTTTCTTCTCAGCTGCAGCCGGTGAGTCTGTCAGCGCTAAAAGCTTTTGTCCTTCCCTCTGAAGACGGAACGAGGCGGGACAGAGAGGACTTCCTGTCCTGAACAAACGTCCTGCAGGTTTTCACATCGGATCCACACTGTAAAATCTAATTAGTTCACCTTACTTAAAAAATTCATCTCAAATCAACATGTTAATACGTGCAAGTTGAGCTTGTTATGTTTAAACGACTCGACTAACTTGATCATTTGAGTTGCATTAATGCTAAAAACGAGCTAATAAACGCTCCACTGTCACATGTAAACCAAACGCCTCCACAGAATCAATTATTGCATCGTATAAAAACTAATGAAGTTATGTTGGGCGATTGAAGAATTGCAATCCTAGAATAGCTGCACATAGAATAGCAAGAACATGTTGACATTATAAGTTAAATGCATACATTTGGTCCAGACTTTTCCATGGTGAACAATAATCTTAAGCTGAAGTGTCACAGTGATGTAAAGTGTTTCCTCTGAAATGCAGCGAGGGGAGAAGTGGGAAAAGAATAAAACCTCAAGTAAAAAAGCAATTATTAAAAACTTTCTCTTTCTAAATGAACCCAGCTCAGGTTGGTGACTTTCCTTCCATAAAGTCTAAGTAACTTTCTAAAAGTGTTGATGAAACTGATTTCAGACTTACTATTTTCAATTAAAGACAATGTTTTTATTTTCAGTGCGTGTTGATCAGATGGCCTCTCTCTGTGGCAGTTCTGTGCTCTTCATACGGTTTGGATGGGAATAAATCTAAACTTAACACGACTTTGTGGTGATGTGAGTTTTCTCTGTTCAGCAGCAGGAATCAGAAAAGGCTCAAAACAAGAAAGTCAAAGATCACAGTGAAGAACTGACACGACATCACAGAGTGAAATGGATTCTACAGAGAAAAACTACATTTAAGGTTAATATTTATCTCTCCTTTAGGGAATGTTTACATAAAAACATCGCCTTGTCATCGTTGTTTTCTGTCACATCTTTTTACATATTTCTCAGTTGAACAAGGTAAAAAAGTAAAAGTTGTTGGGATTATGATGCTCTATAGAATCATTAAGATCCTTTTATTCTTTGGTTCTGACTTTTTGTCATTTTGTGTTTTCTTGTTTGCTTCTGTCCAGTTGACTCGCTGATCTTGTTTAGTTTGTCTTTTTCGGTTCATGCTCTCCTCCAGCTGTTTCACATCCAGTTAATCAGACTCACCTTTTCCATGTACCAGTAATCGCCCTCCCTCTGCTCCTTCCCTCCGGTTCGGGCTGTGGCAGATCCTCCTGCCAGCCTGCAGCGCTCCGATTCAAACCTGTGGGGACGAAAAAGTGAAATTATTCAATATCTCATTTATGTGGCTAGGTTACGCTGAGCTAACAGTAGCTAGGAAATGGTAAATGCACTGCATGGTTGGTCACGTTTTTGGAGAAATCGATAAAAATGCAGAATAAATGTGATGTTTGAAGTTTCTTTGAAGTCATATTAAAATCTGTTTTTCATTCTGTTGAGTCAACAGAACCTTTTGGTTCTGTCTGTGACTTCAGGACGTTAGATGCTCCGTCGCAGTAAAACAGTCAGAGTGGAGAAATAACTTGTTACATTTATTCAGTTACATTCATTTGACTCATTTTGTTGTAAAGTAGTCCCTCTCGATCCTCGACCCACTGAGTAAATTCACTGAACGGAGAACAAAATCGCTTTAACCAAAAAGTCACCAGTTTTATTCTGAAAAAACTGATTTGGAAAACAGTTTTGACCAGTTCCTCAGCTCTGGACTCGGCTTTTTACTTTTCCTTGAGTCATTTGTTGGACGGACACTTTTTACTTTTACTGGAGTGAAAATTCATTGAGGCATTTTTCGGGTTTATTCTACAAACTCTGCAGGTTGTTTTCATCAGAAGTGATCACAAAACTGCATTCTAGTAAAAACCAAAACAAAAGCGGGGGAAACTCTTGCCCTTCATCCTGGCCTCTGCCTGTCGTCAGGCGGTGTGAGTCTCCCCGGAGCCGTTGCTAGGCAACCGTGGCAGCATTAATATGTGCGGTGGGAAGGAAGCAGGGGATACCTCTGGTCTGTGGAGGGAAAGCAACCAGGACGGCGTCAGCTGAGCCACTGGTTCCTCCAGCAGCCGACCGCCTCCTCCTCCTCTTCCTCCTCTTCCTCCTACTTAAAGCCAGTCAGTGTTCATCTTCTGCCAACACAAGGAGACACATCCAAGTGGAGAAAGAATCACTTTTTCTGTGTGAAACACTCAAAAGCCTCAAAATGAGCCAAACATCTGAGAAAGTTTAGCTGAGAGGAAGCAGAGGAAACGCTGACAGCTCCTCCTGTTTGGAGACAAAAGAAGATGAAAACATTCACATGAAGCGGCTCGGCTCCTCTCCCACCCCCGTCTGCACATCAACTGACTATTCTTCAACTTGACATCATCCTTCCACAGACAAGAGGAGGAGAGCGGAGCGAGGCGGCGGCTCAGCGCTGAGGGGGGAAAGTGACAGCGGCTGAAACTTGGCGACCAGTGAGATGAAATTTGCGGCAGAGACGCTGGAGCCCAGCAGGAGCCGCCGTGCAACCAGAGAGCCGAAGCGGGAGCGCCGGGCAGACGAGGCAGCCGACCTGGACGTGGAGGATGAGAGGGGCAGAGCTTCCCCCTAGCTGCCAGCGATGCGCTGCAGGAAGGCGCCCCCCCCCAGCATGTCCACGCTCCTCCTGATGCTCTGCAAGGTAAACACTCAACCTTCATCTGGACTTCTCACGTTTTATTTGAAATGTGGAAAATTTGCATGAATCATTGAATCTTCTCTTCAAATCAAACTTTGCTGTTTTTATTTTACTTTTGTGTTTCTGAGTAAAAACAACTCCGCTCAGACTTTCATAAATGTTACATCGTTTTATGGGATGAAGCATCTGATCTGACTTTTTGTTCAAATCGAGTTCAGAGCGATCCAGTTTCATCATGAGTGTCACTTTCCACTCAGTCCCAGAACAACGGGCAGAAAATGGGTTAGTTGGAGTTTTTCCTCTGCTTCTCCTCCATGAGGCAGAGGAGGAGTGAGTGAGTGAGTGAGTGAGTGAGAGATTGAGTGAGTGAGTGAGTGAGTGAGAGATTGAGTGAGTGAGTGAGCGTCTGCTGGGTGTCAAGCATGCTGGGGAGGGGCTGGGAGCTGTTTGCTTTATTTCCATTTTAAGACAATGCCAAAAGCACCTGAGCCTGTCAGAGCGGGTTAGCGTCTGCAGCTGTTCCACATGCTCGGTTTAGTCAAGTGGCAAAAGGTTTCATTCTCCGATGATCCGACCCGGGCCTCCAGAGGGGCAGAACCGGCGTCCAGGTACGGCTTCATGTGCCAACATGTTCAGGTTTGACTTCCGGTCACTCTGCTGTTTTTATTTCAAGATCCAAATCTTAGATAGAGTATCTATAATAGTGCTGAGACTTGCTTAAAATTTATTGAAACATCTCCAATTAATTCATCACATTTTAAATGAAAATGATTTATCGACAAAATGAGCAACATTTTCAATTCAGAAAGCTGGATTATAGAAATAAACAGACACGACTTCAACAATAATCCTAATCTGTTCTTCAACCGTCTTTTTCAGGAAGTCTTGATCATTCATGGAGCTTCTTTAGAAATGTGGACTGTGGAGCCTGACGTTAGCGTTAGCTGCTACATGTTTAGCATTGAGATGCTATTTCAGGTTTGAATAACTTCGCTGATAAGCTAACTCCTTTTAGCACAACTTGAAAACAACAATAGTTTTTTCTAGCATCCAATCAGATCAGTTTTTGGAACAGAAATGAATCCCTAGTGAACCGAGTGAAACGTCTTAATCGTCTATCGTTCTTAGCAGATGTCACTTGTGCGTCAGATTTACGGGCGGAGCGGAAACGTGTGAATGCAAAGGTTCCAGCCGGAACCAACTGCAGCTTTTCACCTGATTTGATCTGTAACCTTTTTCCCTCTTCACCGTTTTTAGTTTTTTGCTGAGTGCTTGTTTAGATCGTCTTCATGCATCGGAGCACATCCAGTGCAGCACACAACGACCCGTTCAGGTTGGGGTGTTGTTTAGCTTAGCGTCCTCCCAGGAGAGGCCGTCAGAGAGCATCGATACAGGTCAGAGGAGGAAACAGCTCAACGTGTTTCCCTGTCAGGCAGGACGGAAACGTGTCTGGATGTTACGCTGCAGACGCCATGAAGGAGCCGAGCCGTTAGAGGGCTCATACTTTAACATGGCCTTTAAAACTCTCTTCTTCTGTTGTTCTTATTTTGTTTGGCTCTAATATGGAAGAGGTTTAGAGCTACTGAAAAAACAAAAGAATTCTGACTTTTTTCCTCAAATCTAGTCTTCTGAGATCAAAAGTCAGATTTCTGATTAAAATAATCAGAATTGGCCCTAATACTCTTCCATACTCCAAAACATGATCTTATTCAAACGTCTTATATTCGTGCAGCAGTACCTGGACTCCATCTCCTCCTATTTTTTTGTGGTAAATGACTAAATGTTTCTACCAGGACATTTTCCCCCCAGGAGCTCATCTAAATGAGTGCAAACAATAAAATTAGTAATTAAAATAACGGCTGCCACTAATGACTTTTCTTCCTGCTAATTTTTCTATTATCTGAATAATCTAAGGATTCATTTTCCTTAAGGAAACACGTCTAAGTTTCTGTTCAGGATGTTAAAAAAAATAAGAAAATCAAACAGGAGTGAAGATTTACAGTTTAAAGTACAAAATGTTTGTATAAACTGTTTATCCATTAAAAGAATAAATAAAGTTAAACTTTTATTAATTATTGAATTATAATAATGAGTTTCATAATCTCAAATATTATTAGAGTTAATTGTGAACAAAAATATGCCTCATTTCAGTCAGAATACATTTTTATTTATCAGTTTGTCTGGTTGAAGTTGGTGCATGTAGATAATTTACTTTATTTGCAGAATTAAATGTGAATGAAGTGAAACTATTTTGGTCATCATGGATGGAAAAGGGATGGATGGATGGATTAAGGTGAATTCAGGACTATTCCATCCATCCATCCTGGAGGCAGAAGCTGTTTCTGTTCGTGGTTCAGGTAACTTGATGGAAGTCGGTTCTTGCACCCAAAGTGTTTTTCAGAGTCTGGCTCTGCGTTAGACGGTTTATTTTTGGTTCTCCTGATTCTGCTGCGAGTTGCCGTTGAAAAGCTGTTGACCCGCATGAGAAGCACTTTTCTCCTGAGAGGCGTTTGGATGCCAACTCTCACAAGCTGCTGCGCCTGCAGGCCGACAGCATGCAGCTAGTTTCTAACAGGGCACCCCGGGCCTCGCATATCAATACACACTCACACACACACCTGTGAAATCACACAGATGAGCGCTGGCTCCATCACAATGTAGGAAGTCAGGCTGAGGCTGAGGAGAGCAGAAATATCTGCTGTCTTTTCTCTGTCATGAAGCTTTAAAGAAACAAGCTCAAACTTTGATCTAATCACTGGAGATAATTAAAATTCACCCATTTATCCTGAAACTGCTCTACAAACACTAACTGACAACTTAATGCAGCTGCTGGAGGCTAAAGATGGTAAATCATACAAATATTTAGCTCCAAACTATTTTGTTTGGATCTAAATATTTCATTTGCTAACTAAATATTAGCTATTATTATAGTTAATAAGATAAATATTTAGCTGACAACATGTTGCAACTCACATTTAATGTTGTTAGGTAGCTACTAACTAAATTAGTTAACAAGCCAAATACTTAGCTTGTTACTATTTAGTGTTAAGCCAGAGGTTCCCAAACTGTGGAGCGTGCCCCCTAGGGGGCGCCGTGCCATTGCAGGGGGGGGGGGGCAGCGGGAAGCGGTATGAATGAATGAATGAAAACAACAACAACAAGGGTGAAGGGGGGGGGGGGGGGGGGGGGGGTTGAGTGGATGGAAGAGTTTAACAGGAAGTCTCTAAGGATCTCTCTACACCACCCCTACATATTTGGCAAGCTAAATATTTAGCTCAAAACTGTTTAGAAACTAAAAATAGATATTTAG